TGCCTGGGAGCTGGAGACGCATGCGCCGCCGCCGCATTCAACCGGCGACGAAAACGCTGGACCCGATCACGCTCAGCACGAAGGTGAATAGCCCAGCGTGCCGCAGTAGCCCAAGCCCAGACTGCGGTGTCGTGGTGCAGCCGCTTGCGAGGTGGCCCCCACCGCAGCTGCCGCCGCTCCACCTGGGGGGGGCCGTGGTGCCCGGCTCCAGGGCCAACTTTGTCGTGCCTGCCTGCGATCTCGTAGTCAATACCCTGCAGAACGGAGTCCCAGAACTGCTGCAAGACACCATCAGGTGCGCCTGCCCCGCCGACGGCCTGTCCATGGGCCCAGGTCCGACGGCGGTAACGTTGGCCCGCGCGCCCCGATCGACCGCGCTTAATTATGCCTAATGGACCTAGTCGGCCGAAGGACCTGCATCGGTCCCGATCGGGCCTGGGCTGGACACGGTCCGCGCCAGCAACCCTGTGCGGCGAAATGGCTGCTGGCGCAAATAGGCTATCCAAAGTAGGGAAAAAAAAAACAGGGGGAACGAGCACAGCCAACTGGGGGGACAGCGGGCAGTGGTCGAGATTCATCGGGGGCGCGGCGCCACGTCAGCGGGCCCTTCTCATGCAGCTCCAGACCCACGGGGTAGTGGGGTCAGGGAATGCTCCCACATCCATGCATCACCTCGGGCTGGCGAGAGACACGGGGCGCGTGGTTGCTGGCCACCAAGAAGTAGTCGATGGTGGACACTCGTTGGAGGCGACGCACGTAGAGGCCGACGGCTGGAGGAGAGTGCCTGCCAAGGACCCAACCCAGTCGCCAACGTTGATGCTCTGGCCGTCGGCGTTCCAGTCACCCCCGATGATCCGGTCGAGGCCGCGTGCGTTCCACGCCGCCACGCGCTTCGCAAGCGCCCATGGGATCGAGAGGTTGGCCCCGGTGACGCCGACGCCCTGAAACATTTGCACGCTGACGACAATCAGACCACCAGGGGCACCCCAGTGAACATGAGCTGCCACAGCATGATGTGGAAAGACGGCATGATCCCCATCGGGGGGCATCGTGCCCAGCACGCTGGCAGGCGCGAGCACGCAGACCCCACTGGAGCACGACGCCGCGGGCGCTCCCCCCGTCTCCCCGGCAGGGGCCCAGAGCCCGCGCCAACCTGCGTCGTGCACGTCAGACTGAACGGCCCCAAGCCGCTGGTCGACCACCCGCGTCTCCTGGGCCGTCGCCACCTTGCCGAAGAAGTGCGGCAGGACATGGAGAAGTGGCCCGCGAGAGCCAGGGTTGACAGTGACGAGCTCGGCCGCCACCTGACAGCGCGCATCGCCGGCGTCAGGGGCGACCGTGCCTTGCACAAAGGGATCGCGACCCTCTGGCATGCTCGCGTCACTGCCGCCAGCTCGGCATCGAGGCGGTGCTTTCCGCCAATTGCGGAGCAAGCCCGCGGACTGGTCAGCCGCAGAATTGCCCCCCCACCGCTGTCGGGGGCCCCGGCAGAACCCGCCTCGAGCAGGGCGAATAGGCACCAGGACAGCACCAAGATCCATCCACGCGGGCACGCCGCGCTCGGCGAAGACGCAGACGCGTGGACTGGAGCACAGGTTGAAGGCGCAAGCGCCGGGAATTCCAGGGGCCCTCCGCGCCGGGAAATCCAGGGGGCCCTCTGCGTCTTCTCGCGCCAGCGCGCGGCCGTTGATGTACTCGCCACGCAACCGCGCTTAGCAGCGGACCGGAGCGAATCGGTCTGAAGGTTTGTTCGTAGAAAAAGTGGCCACTGGAAGGAGACGCGCTGCGATCGTCGCCCAGCGGGGGCGGACCCACGCAGCCGGAATACGACCTAGGAGCAACGTGTACATAGCACGCGCTGCCGTGTGGGCGCCCCCCGTTAACCCTGACATTCCGCGCGTGGCACTCCCTGCCGGGAGGGCCCCAGCTGGCAACCTGCACATGGTGCGTGCTGTCAGTCCATGGGAGCCACAGCTGACATTCCGCACATAGGACTTCCCGTCAGTTTGACGGCCGCCCCGCCCGTCGCAACAGGCAGACGCATGGCGGTCACATCGAGTGGTCTGTGCATGGCACGCGCCATTCGTATAGCCGCGCTGGCAGGCGCTGCCCTCAGAAAGGGGCTGATCGAGCCCTCTTCTTCCTCTTGTGCGCCGTGGCCGCATGCGTGAAGGAGTCGAGGGCGCGCTTGTACGCCAAACGCATGTCCGCGTCGGTGGCGTCGCCAGGTTGCGCGACTCCTGCCGCCTCCAACGCCCCCCGTAGCTCGGCGGACTCCGCGAGGTCAACGTCGATCTCCATGTCGCCCCTGGCAGCTTCCTCAACGAGGACGTGCACCTGGCCCGCGAGGAGAACGGCGGTGGACGCAACTCCACCTCCTTTTTCCCCAGCAAGGGTCGCAGGAGCAGGGGCAGCAGAGGGCACCTGTGCCGCCGGCGGCTTCGTCTGGGGAAGCTCATAGAGCCTCCCGAAGACTTTGGCCGCCGTCTCCAGCTCCGCCTGAAGGCTGGGGTCCAAACCGAGCTCCACGGCCAACTCGCCAAGCTGCTGGACACTGACAGCGAACATCGGCAGCAACTCATGGAGCGTGGGATTGCCAGCAGTGGGCAGAGGGGCTCGGTCGGCGCCCAAGCGCTGGACCTCCTCCTCCAGCCGCAAGACTTCGGCATCTGCCTCGGCCAAGGAGTCCTGGAACACCGTCTGCTTGGCAACCAGCTCGTCGATGACCAGCTGATTCTTAGCGTGCTCCTCGCGAAGACGCTTGGCCTTGGCACGGGAATTCCGCAGCCTCGTGGTGAAGGAGGTGGCCTGATCCTCCACGGGGCACTCGGCGTCGAGCTCCTTGCCCAAGCGCTCCTTCTCTTCGGTGAGGGACTTGACTTGCGCCAGGTCCGAAGCAACGGAGGGTCCATCATAGACCTTAAGGAGCTCACTGATCTTCTTGATGCGGTCACGCTTGACCTGCTTCTCCGGCGGGTCAGCGGTGCCTCCGTTGTCACCAGCGGGAGCCCCATGGTCAGCGGTGCCTCCAATCCGAAGCCCGCCCCAGCAGCAGAAGCACTCCCCCCAGTAGCAGCAGCAGCAGCCCAAGGAGGAGGACACTTGGCGACCGTGAGCTTCTTGACCATGGCCTGGAGGTCGGCAAGCTGCTTAGCCATGGAGGCGGTGTCGGACTTATCCTTAGATGCCTTGGGTGAGCCCGTGGACTTGGTCGCAGGGCTCCCTTTGGGCGTTTTGGGTCCACAATAGCAGACTCCTTTATGCAGGTTGCATTTGGAGCACCGCTTGAGGTCGCCACGGTTGATCCACAGCGTGCTGTCCCTCGTGACACAATCCTTGCAACGCCAGGGGTCAGCCGCGAGGCAACGCGACATGGCGGCGCCGTGACAAATGCAAGGCCAGCCAGGCCGCAGCAACCGTTAATAATCCAGGAATCCTGGGGACGCCATTCAGGAAACCCAGACGCCAAATCTGGCTCGCAAGAGAGAACCTTCCCAGTGTTTCTACCCCTGCAGACCCGACTCGGGCCAGAAAGAGCTGGAGAAGGAGGAGGAGGAGGAGGAGGAGGAGGAGGAGGAGGAGGAGGAAGGGCGGCGGAGGGCAGCACCCACGGGGACCTCATGGCAATCAGGACGCAAGGAATCCAGTACGGAGGCGGGAAAAAGGTCCTGTGGAGGGATGGAGGAGGCCGGAGGAGGAGGAGGAGGAGGAGGAGGAGGAAGAGGGGGGGAGGAGGAGGAGGAGGAGGAGGGAGGAGGAGGAGGAGGAGGAGGAGGACAGGAGGAGGAGGAGGAGGGGGTGGAGGGGAGGAGGAGGAGGAGGAGGAGGAGGAGGAGGGAGGAGGAGGACGAGGAGGAGGAGGAGGAGGAGGAGGAGGAGGAGGAGGAGGAGGGGGAGGAGGGGGAGGAGGGCAGGAGGAGGAGCAGGAGGAGCAGGAGGAGGAGGCAGGAGGAGCAGGAGGATGAGTATCAGGAGAGGAGGAGGAGGGAGGAGGTTGAGGAGAAGGAGGAGGAGGAGGCCAGGGGGGGGAGAGGGGAGGGCGAGGATCGAACCAGATCAACTCGGCGGAAGGGAGCGTCAGGCTCCACAGCGCCGTCTGGGGCCAACCTGCGAGTGTGGAACTTGCAGCTCGAGTAATAATTTTAGCATTATCTACAGCCCGCCCTGCCAAGCGGCGAAAAAAACGCCGCGGCCCCGGAGGGCGAGGAGGGAGGAGCGAAACGACAGAAGGGAGAGCAGGAACAGGGAGGCAGGAGAAGGGAGGCAGGTCTGACTGAGGGATGGAGGGGACCAGGGGTTCCCCGCAGGGGTGCGCACCCCCAGAGAGCCCCCAGGGCCCCTCTCAGAGCCCCCAGGAGCCCTCAAAAACTTCGGTTCGACCGCTGTGTCCCGTTTTCTCTCTGTTCCAACCCGTACTGACACGCTTCCCCCAATCAGGGCAACTCGACTGGGAATCGTTTTTGGGACGGACTGGTGGGGATACTCGAGCCGTCATGGCTTGTGCTCAAAAACACCGATCCTCGAACTTCCAGCAGGTGGAGGGTAGAGGCCTCCTAGATGATGTGGACCGATGGATCGCGCCGCATCGGCGACGCATCGGTGATGCGTTGCCGATGCATCGGTGATGCCGAAGCGACATCGGCGATGCATCGGCGCCGTTGGCGTGGAGAAACTCGGGCTCCACATCGAGCTGCATCGGCGATTCATCGCCGATGCGGCACGATCCTCCGACCCCATCTGCTCGGACCCCATCTTGGAAATCTAGAGTTAGGTCAGGCGTGTACCCCTACAGGTGGAGTCTGGCAGACAAATAAAGAAATGATGAAAACCTATCGAAAATAGTCGAAAAAAATAAACCAATCGTCCCCAGACTATTTTTTTACTGTTTTTGAGTATTCCTCCTGTAGAACAACACGCCCGACTTAAGCCTAGAGGGCGGGGGTTGCAGGGCTGACCCAGGGGGGGAGAGCCGGCACCCCTATCTTGCTCCCCGCATGGAGCCTCAGCGACGGAGCCCGGATCGCCATGCCGCGGAAGCACGAAGGGTGGACGAGGAGGAGGCCACTGATGAGAGCGTAAAGAGGAGCAGGGGATGAAGGGAGAGGCATGCGACTGGGAGGGCACACAGGAGGAACAAGAGGAGAAAGAGGTGTCGGTGTAGGAGGAGGCGGAGGAGGAGAGGGTAATAAGAGGGCACAGACAAAGGAGGACACAAGATGAGACGCCAGGCCGCGGAGGGCACAGACGCGCGCAAAAAAGAACGGGGCAGAGGGCGCATGGTGGGGGGCGTCAGAAGGATCCTGTGTTCCGTTTTCCCATTCCCCTCCTCCTTCCAATCCTCTCCCTCCTCTTCTGCTGCCCCCTCCACCTCCTCCTCCTCCTCTTCCTCCTCCTCCTGCTCACCATCATCATTCATCAGTCGTCACCATTGATCATCATCATCATCAGCATCAGCATCATCATCACCATCACCATCACCATCACCATCACCATCACCATCACCATCACCATCACCATCATCATCATCATCATCATGATCATGATCATGATCATGATCATGATCATGATCATGATCATGATCATGATCATCATCGTCGTCATCATCATCGTCATCGTCATCGCCATCGTCAAAATCGTCGTTATCGTCACCATCACCATCACCATCACCATCATCATCATCACCATCATCATCATCATCATCATCATCATCAGCATCATCATCCCGGCAGCCCGGTCCAGAGAGGACTGGGAGTAGGCGTGTCAGGAGGAATAGGACGAGGACATGGAGGGAGGGGCCGCTCAAGCAGCCGAGCCTCGGCCCCGACGCCGAGGGGGTCGGCGCCGCCGAAGGAACCACACCGCCAAGAACTGGCAGTCCAAGGACAAAAGCCTCGGCGAGCTCTTGCTGTTCATCGACAAATTCGCGCTGCAAACGGCCCACGGGACTCGCATCAACACCGCCACGACAATAGACACCATAGTCTTCCCGAGCACGCATCCCGTCATCGTTCACATCAGCGACGAGGTCGAAGCCTTCAGACATCCCGTCGAGAATCTTCGCAAGGAGGCGGACGCCACGCAGCAGCTGCGGGACCTCGGCCCTCCCACGGAGGGCCCGGCGCTCGCCCCAGTCGAATCCTTGAACAAGTGCGACGTGGGAGCAGCCGCAATGAAGATCTTCGCGGAGTTCCAGCAGCAAGTCAATGGGAACGACGACGCCGGCCCAATGATCATGCGCTCCAACCAGGAGCACGACAACGCCGTGATTCGACTGGAGAACTGCTACAAGCAGTCGGAGACGAAGCTCATCATCGGGATGCGGAAGTGGAGCTTGAAGCCCTAGATCTTGCAGGCCGTTCGCAACGAGGGCCAGGGGACGATCCACAATGGAGTGGCGCCCGCAGGATGGTTGGAGGAGGAGCTGAGCACCTGGGTCGACGCGCTTTCTCGCTGAACGCGGGCAGGCTGACGCCAGATTGTTCCGGCCAGGCTCTGCCAGAACGCTCTGGGCACACGTCTGATTATCTAAATTGGCCTGTGCGTCTCGTGCGTGCCAGCTCGCCTCCGACGGAAACTCCAGGTGTTCCGAGAGATGCCGTGCCATCTGGAGTTTCCGGCGGAGGCGAGCCATCTGCCGCCGTACTCGTCTAGCGGGGTACTCGCCGACTGCCGCAGCCGACACGCCCCGCGAGCGAGTCAGCTCTAGCTGAATACGACGCCGACGACGAGGCGGCCAACTTCTTGGGCATTGGATGATTGTGCGACCACCTTTTCTGCAAATGCGTACCGCTTGGCTTGCTTGCAGCGCCGCTGTGCACGCCGCGCCTGCTGGCGAGCTATAGGCCCGACGCCTAGCGACAGGTTCATTTCAGCACGAGGGAGACGGATCTTAATGGGAGGAAGCGTTTTTTTTTATTTTCTTGACAAAAAAAATGGGCGGACGATTTTTAAAAAAGGTTTCGCGGGCCTCGTCGCCCCCGCAATAGCGGGGGGGCAAGGCAGGCAGACGGGGGGCTGACAATTCCGGGTTGCCTGGAAGGCCAGAGGGGGGGGGGCACGGGGTGGAGATCCAGGGCGCGGGGGCCAGGGGGGTGGACGGGGTGATTTTTCAGGGCGAGCTCGTCCTCCTCCTCCTCCTCCGCCTCCTCCTCGTCCTCCTCCTCCTCGTCGTCCTCCTCCTCCTCCTCCTCCTCCTCTTCCTCCTCCTCCTCCTCTTCCTCCTCCTCTCCTCCTCGCCCTCCCGGCTCGGCGGGCAAGGGGGGCGGGCGCCCCGCGGGCGCCCCCCCTCGAATTGCGCAACGGCGCGCGCGGAAGAGAATTCTGGCGGAGAAAGGCAAAGCAGGCGGACCGCCTGCGGCGACGAACGTGCCACGTCGTGCTCTGCCATGCTACGTTTTGATCTCGAACGCCATGCTATGCAATGTTATGTTCGGGGCCGCTGTGCGATGCCATGCTTTGCGTTGCTAAGATTTGTGATGCAATTCTGCACTACGCCACGCCACGCCATGCTGTGACATACTACGCTTTGCGGTGCTCTTCAACGCCCTGCCACGCCGCGCTCTACAATGCATCGCGCACCCTTTCGGGATCATTGCCCTGCTCGACATCCAACTGTGCGAGTAGAAAGGGGATCTACGCCATGTTAAGGGATGGGAGAGAGGAGTCGGCTGTCATATATGACGCGAGCGCACCTAGCTTGTCCTCCCCCCTCTTCCTCCTCCTCCCTCCTCCTCCTCCTCCTCCTCCTCCTCCTCCTCCTCCTCCTCCTCATCCCCCACCTCCCAATCGCCGCGGCCGTCCGCAAGGACGACCGGCGGCCGTCCGCAAGGACGAGGGTGATCAAGCGCCTCTTCGAAAACCCTTCCCAAATTGCCCCGTCCCCCCTCCGCAATCCTCCCCCCGCGGCCGCGGGTGATCATGCGAGCGAAGAGAACGAATAGAAAATCAGTTCCCCCAAAGGGGCAAAAGCAAACGCCGGGGGGCGGACGATTTAAAAAAACAGTTTTCTGGCGGCTGAATTCTCTTAGTCCGCCCCACTCAATCATTTTGGGGGGTCCAAGGGGGGGGGCGTTTTTTTTCTTGTTGTTATTATTATTACTATTATTATTTTAAATAAAAAATCATCTCATTACAGCTAGCCTGATTAACGTTTGTCAAACCCCGATAATAGTGCCAGACTCGAGCATCAACGTCGTTGAAAAGTAAAATTAATCATAATCGTAATAATGATAATGATAAGCATTCGCATCATCGTCATCATCGTCATCATCATCGTCATCATCATCGCCATCGCCATCAGCATCATGATCATCACCATCATCATCATTACCATCATCATTCGCATCGTCATCATCATGACTCCGACTGCTCTTTTCCAGACCACTGCTTGCGGTGAACGAGTGAGCATCTTCAAACCAGATCTGCCCCAGTTTTTTGGGGGTGGGAGGGGTTCGGGTGAACCAAAAAGCGCTATAGAGCGGAGAACGGATGACGAGGTCGGGTCATGGACGTGGGGCACAAATATGACTCCGACTGCTCTTTTCCAGACCACTGCTTTGCGGTGAACGAGTGAGCATCTTCAAACCAAATCTGCCCTTAAACAGAACACCCGCATACAGCACTGGAGTGGCGAATTTCATTCGACGAATTTTACTGGTCTGGATCTGGCTACAGGAAAACCCCCCGAGGCCCCCAAGTAAGAGGAAAGGAAGAGGAGGGAATGGAGGAGGGAAGAGAGGAGAAAGCTGGCCACAGTTCGTGCACACGCAAGAGGCTGAGGGACGAGGCGATAGCCTTGGATAGCACGAGGCACAGCTTCTCGGGGTAAACCTGATTCTGGCGTGTCAAGAATCCCCCTTTTTCCCGTGGGCCCGTCCCACTGGTAGTGTGGTTTTCCTGAAAAGCTGCAAGTCCCCCTGCCGTGGCATTTGGCTGCATCCAGGGTAGGACATTTGATCTTAAACGAGTGCGAACTCTCCACGGCGTGCCGAAGGCGCAATAGTCAATGACATAAGACGTGCACTCGGGACGCTGCATCATAGCTGGACGTTGGTGGCCCAGCCGCAAGTAGGACTGAGCTGGGTTTCCTTCGCCACAGGGTAGCCCTCGCTGGATGCAAGCGTCTAGGAGATCACCGGAACGATGTGAAAGCACGTTACCTTCAGAGACTGTCACCTGATCGCGTGAATCAAGATTCGGAAAGCCAAGGGGGTATTCAGGACTGCGCAGCCGATGGGGAAGACGAGACCACTGCGGGGCACGGCGAGCCATCGCGAACGACTGACACGGAGTGCCTGCCCACGTTCCCAACGCAAGACCAGAGCGGATCCAGCCGAGCAAGGCGTTGAAAACGTCAGTGTTCAACAAGTCGCGAGCAGGCCCACGGCAGATATCAACGCATGCGACCGCGACGTTGAGATCAGCAAGTGAGGAAGCCAGGCCTCCCGCCCCTGAGAACAAGTCTTAGAAGATCCTGCGGCCGTGCGGCTGCGGCTGTGCGAGAGCCCGGCGCAGTGCACGGCGAAGGGCGTGAGGCCGCGGTCGACCAGCGCCGAGATCTGGTTTCTCAGCGCCGCGGAAAGCTTGCCGAGCTGCAAGGAGACCCGCGCGTGCTTGTCGTAGCGCACGACGCTCCGAAGCTGCGCTAGTGGCCCCTCTGCTGCACCTCGACCAGCGATCGCGCTCGAACGAGACGATCGTGGCTGGCGCCCCCGCGCCGCAGCGCGTAGAGGCTCGGCTCGATGCAGGAGACCCCGACGTGCTCCACGGCCAGCGCGAAGGACCGGTACAACAGCCGCGAGCTGACGTTGAAGAGGGGCTACCCGCTCGCGCGCCCGCCCTGCAGTGCTCGCAGCACCAGGATGAGCGGGCGGTGGCGGTCCAGGTCGAGGAGCACGCTCAGGTCGAACTCCTGGGTCTTGGACGGCCGGCCCAACTCCTCCACGCGGGCGCAAAAGCCCCAGAATGCCCCTTGGCCCCGCGACGCGGTAGGCGGCACCAGCTGCCCCACTGTGGGACTCAGGAACTCCGAGGGGCGCATGTACGTCTCGAACATGACGATGTTGGCGAGGGCTCCCACAGGGCACTCGGGCAGCATCGCCCACGCCAAGGCCAGCGCGACGCCCCAGGGCAGAGGTGGGCGACTGTGAGCTGGCTCCAGCTGGCGCCGGCCCAGCACGGCCGCATGCGCGCCGGGGAAGACCTGACGCAGTGGGCCGCCCGGCCGCCATGCGTGGGCTGGGCCCACACCACGGCGGCCAGCAGCCGGGAAGCCAGCGCCCGCGACCAGCCCTCGCCCCGCGCCCACTCCACGAAGTCGAGGAGGAGCGAGTCCCACTGCGGGCCCGACAAAATGGGCAGCGGTCTCCGCCCCAGAAAGTCGGCCAGCGGCTCCAGCACGTCGCAGTAGCCTGCCTGCGTCGCCGGGCGGACGCGCTCCTGCCGCAGACCGGTCAGCAGCGGGGCCAACGGCCGCAGCCGCGCCCGCGTCGCCGCTCGGAGGCGCCCCAGGCGGCTCGAGGCCCGGTGGGCCCCCGGGCCAGAGCGGGCCGAGCGGACAGCCCGCCGCGGCCCACCAAAGCGGGTGGGCGGGCAACCCCCAGGGGCGCTTGGCCCAGAGGGGCCGGCGCTCACGGGGCCGCGGGCCGTCGGCGCGCCGGCGGAGCGGCTGCTGGAGAAGCCCAGGCTCGCAGCGCCCTCGCCGTCGGAGTCGGGCGGGGCCGCAAGCAGCAACACCGCTGGCGGCAGGCAGCTGGTGCCGGACATGGACTGCCACCTCCGCTTTGCCCCCGTGCCGAGGCTGGTCTCGCAGCGCCCAGGGCGTTGAGCTCCGATGGGGCCCAACGGTCGTGAAGCTTGAGCCCGACGGCGAGGGCGGTGGCCGAGGCGAGCCGGCACTGAAAGTTCATGGCCGGCGTAGACGACCTGCCCTTGGCGTGCGCAAGGATCGCAGACAAATTGTCGCCCAAGAGAAGCACTCGAGAATTGTGAAGACTGCAATCCCGAGCAACACTTTGATGAACGGCAGATTATATCTTAGATATAAGTTTAGGACGTGAGTTACTAACCGACTTAGGCGACTTACGAAGTCGAGTTATAAGTCGACTTAGGCCGACTTAGCATAACCGACTTAGGTGATCGACTTAGGTCAGCTTAAAAGTTGAGTTATAACCTAAAAGCTAAGTCGACAGCCGACATATAAGTCGACTTATAAGTCGAATTATAACTCGAAGTTGTCGACTTAGTAAGTCGAACTTCTTCGACTTACTAAGTCGAACTATTTCGACTTACTAAGTCGAACTATTTCGACTTACTAAGTCGAATTAGCCCCGAGTTAATATGTCCAAAGTAAATCCTCGATGTGTGGTTTTCTATATTTCCATCATGGGATTCAGTCATATACTACAGCGTTTCACACATACGCTTACATATGATCATTTTCGTACACACATAGTTTTGCACATATGCGCGTGTAAGGTGTGTTCACGCATTGGGATGTAGATAACGCGCGCGCACGTACACATGCGCATGTATGCACAAGCACAATCATATGTCGATGTCGATATCGATATCGATGCATACGCGCGCCGCCTGCGATACTCTTATCAGCAATAGCGCGGCGCGCGCCCCCCCTGCCTTGTAATTGTCTGTTCTACGGGTCGCACGAGCACCCCGCGATTGAAGAGAAGAAGGAGGCGCGCCGCGCGTGTGCACATGCGTGTCCTTTTTCGTGGTTGTTGAACTTTTTTCAAAAACAACAAAACTTTTCTTTCTTGTCGCGACGCAGGCAAGAAAGAAAAGAAACGCAGAGCGGAGGCGCTGAAGGCGCGCGCACTTTACGTTCGTGAACTGTTCCACCCTTGCCCCCGCAAAATAACGGATCGTGAAACGATCTTGTTACGCTCGCGAGTGTCGTGAGCAGCCATTACAAGAAAGGGCGCTCCTTGCAGTGAGAAGAAAAGGGGGAGGGGGGGGGAGGGAGAGAGAGAGAGAGAGAGATCTGATGATGATGATGATGAGGATGATGGTGATGATGACGATGACGATGATGATGATGATGACGACGACGATGATGACGGTGATGATGGTGATGATGACGACGACGATGATGGTAACTCCCACGGTCGCGGATTGTTCTTGCCTTAGAGAGCCTCGCCTTCCTCCTCCACCCCTCGCCCCACCGCGGTGCAGGACATCGATGATCGAAGAGGACATCGATTATCGTTGCGGGGGTGGGGGTATACAGGGGTGGGGGGGGGGGATCGGTCTGGTCGGTCGGAGCGGCGAGCGGCGCGCGCGCGCGCCGCCCGCCCCTCCGTGCAACAAGTGCCAGGCGCCGCGGCCCCCTCCCACCGCGACCGCCCTCGTCCTCCCTCTTTCCTCGCCTCCAGCTCCTCTCCCTCGTCGTCGGCATCCTCCTCTTCCTCATTCCCCTCATCATTTCCTACCCCCCCTTGTGCCAGTCATTATTCCTCCCCCTCCTCTCTTCTCCCTCCTCTCCTTATCAGTATCCGTCTCCTCCTCCTCCTCCTCCTCCTCCTCCTCCTCCTTTTCCTCCTTCTCCTCCTCCCCACCTTCCTCTTGCCATTGGAATCGACGCCATCGAACTCGATTGCCATCGAAGTCGTGCCCGCAGCCGCGTAGCGCCAGGAGAGTCGCACCTCGATATCCTGCAGCGTCCTCGATATCGAGCGCGCGATGGCGTCGTTCGCTGACGGGGTCGATGCCCTGGACGGCCTCATCGAGGAAGCACTGTCGTCAGCAGATGGGCTTGTCGGAATGGTAGATGTGATCCTCGAGAAGTTAATTTCTATTGGTATGGCTGCGTGGCTGTATCTAAAACCTCACCAAGTAGGCATCCACCCTTCAAACAGATATGGATTGGGCATCAAGGCTTACGAGGTGCACAGGCTGGGGGCTAAGATCGTGAGGAACAAATTCAGTTTCGCGGCAACGGCTGGTTCAGTTTGCATCGAAGATAAGAATGGCACGATTGCGCAGTATACCCAGGAGTTTCAGAGATCGTCGAATCTGTTTGGCAAATCCCCGCCCGAATCGATTATCGCAGGGAGCGTGAGCTCTGGGCATGCAATTCAGTTCCTGGTGGCTTGCTTAGAGAGAATTGAGACGAAGGAGAAAACGTTGTCCGACATCGACGGTCGCATCAACACGGGGCAGTTCCAAAGCAAAGATAAACGAGTGGAAAAGGCACTTGACACTGGGCTGAGGTGGTTGATGGTGAAAAAGGAGGCAGAGGAACGCTGGCCAAAACTTCCAGGTTTGATCCAGTCGGCAAAGCAGGCGACGGGCCAGGTGCAGAGTGAAGAAACGCATTTCGAGCTCTTGCTTCACATCCAGGCCATTGCATCCGAGCAGGGGCGCGACGGGTCCGTAATCGACTGGGCGAGGGTGAAGACCGAGGCGAGCAAATCGGAATCGAAGTACGTTGACGATATCGACGCATGCGCTGACTTCGTGGCGAAATATGGTGGGGGGTCCCAGGGCCAGTTCATCAAGGACCTCGTGCAGTTCGTGTCAAGGTGCGCGCCCGCTGGGCGCCTGGTGGGCGGGTACGTGTTCGAGACATTGTGCAAGGCAAAGCTCGCGGCGACGGAGATGATGCCCCACCTGGTAATGGCCGTCGTCAAGGCTCACGTGAACGGCCCCCCCGAGTCCGCGCAGAGTCGAATGTGCAGGTTTGTGACCCGCTCAGAGATCGCGCCCCTCTTCGCTAGCACGGAGGCGAGGTCTAAAGCGATGGCAGCAGAGAAGACCTTGCGGCATCTTCACAGCGTTTCCAGGCAGATCGATATCGATACGATTGAACGCATTCCGATCATAGGTAAGGCCGACCAATTGATAGCAATGGTGTTGTTAGGGAAAAAGTTGGATGAGCGATACGCAAACATCGAGTGCGTCGCTCACGAGTGCATCGAGGCATTGAAGGCAAAACAAAATGGTACCATCGAGATCGACAACCCGTATACCTGCCAGTCGGCCCAGCACGACAGCGGTGCCGATGGGGACTCCGTCAAGCAGACCCCCTTCAGTGGCATGCTGCAGTACGACGCCAGCACGGGGGAGCTGGCGAACGCTAACATCTGCCTCTTGGAGCAGAGAGGGTTTAAGGTTGATGACACCATCAGGCTGAGGAAGGACGATGAAGGTGCAATGGCGCGGCCGAACTACGGGTGGTTTGCCAGTTTCAGTGGTTCCCCCCTAACTCCCTCAGACACCTTGGACCCTCCACCCCTCTACGCCACATAAAAACTCTTACATGTATTAGCCCCCCTGTGCATGAGTTGTGCCCTTGCACCTTCGGTCTAAGGGAAAACGTGGAAGATAGCTTCGATGTCGGAGGATGGCGTTCGGATGCGGGGGGTGATGCAGAATGGCTCCTTGCACCACATCGTTATTCGGTGCCCCATTCCAAAGTTCATCGAGAAGTACTGCTTTACTACAACCAAGAAAGAGTTGCCCGCTGGGTGGCCAGAGGACGCAGCTTCTAAATCTACCGATCTCGTCGCGATCAACATCAAGTCAGCAATTGCTATGGCCATGATATCTTTGACGTCGGAATTCGAAGCCGATGGGGGCGATCTGATGGCAGTCAGCAAACCCAACATGGGCATTTTCTCTAGGAAGAAGTTCCAGGCGAAAAAGTTGATCATCGTGCCGACGGCTCTGACCGTCAAGCAGTGCGGCGAGAGCGATCGCCCCTACTTCGATGTGCCCAGCCCTGATGAGAGGATCGCGGGGCCCTTCGCCCTCTCGGACCCTGGCGCTAAAGCGCCGAGCCTTGCGTTCAAGATCAGGCACATGGACAGCACGGAGTCGACGAAGCCGAATTGCGCCATCACTAAGCACTCGGTGGCCGTATCTGTGGGCAACGCTAAAGTGTACGATATCAAGATCCCCGTAGTCACCAACGTCATGGCTCTGAACGTTGGAGACGAGCTCACGCTTCCCAAGGTCGCGACCGCTGTCCCGCGGAAGAGGCCCACTCCGCCGACCATCGAGGTGTCCACCACGAAGAAAGTAGCGCGCAGCAGGTAGACATACATGCACGCATCGATTTGCGAAGCAGTGGAGCGATGTAGAGATGAGGCATCGACATCGATCATGGACTGTTGGATTCCCATGGAGTTTTGGAGTTCTTGCAATAGTTACCACGAAATATACATAATCGTCGTCGTCGTCGTCCGCTTCGTCGGCGTCATCGTCGTCGCCGTGCCCAGTTCCAAATCGCGGTCGAGCTCGAAACTTAGAACGTTTATCCAGGGCCGCGTATACACTTAAACCACTTACAACTTTCTTAAGACGCTTAGGCTCCAAACCTTGTGTGTTTGTTCTTTCGGGGAACGCGGTTCACGACGCCACGTCAATCGAAAGTCGCATGCGCTTATCGCTCGACGTCGCGCGTTGCTTGTTTGGCTCCAGATGTAGATGCGCTCCCGCGCGCTTCTAGGAATACGTCGATATCGATATCCGACACATGGTGGATGCTATGGCCTGGTGCGTGGACAAAGTTGTTCGCGTGCGCGCCCCTCACACGGCTTCGCCAGTCATTCTGGACAATTGCAGGGAGCTAAACGGTTGTGTATTCTTTCACCTCAAGAAGAGCTGCGATGTGGTGATGAAGCTTCTTGGGCATCCGCGTTCCAAGGACATCAGGCCTCTTGTTAACACATCGATTTGTGAAACATTGGAGCGCCTTAGAGATGACGCATACAGATCGTCATTGCTAGCCTCCTTGGACCAGCTTAGCGTTCACGGAATGGAGAAGACATCCTTACCGCCGCCTGGCTCCAGGACATGGAAGAAACGATTCAGGTCGAACCACGACGGGATTCAGGGCACCACAGCGACGGTACATGGTCCGACCATGGGCGACATCAAGGGCATCCCGGTCAAGGTCATTATCGACAGGCCTGGGACCCCCCTGTATGTGCAGCTGGAGGAGGACCTCGTGATGTACTTGAAGGCGTGCTGCGAGGTCGAGATCAAGTCGGGAATCGTCCACAGGCAGCATCCGTCCGAGAAGGTTCCTGCTGGGCTCAAGGTCGACACTAAGGATTATCCTGGGCTGAGCTTCTCTTACACCAAGAGCCAGTTCGTGCTGCAACGTACAGGCGATGACGGCCGTGTGAGCGTGAGGTACAGGACAGCGAGCTCCGCGGCGGAGGCGATGCAGTTGTTCGAATCAGTTCAGGCAGGTGAGGACTCTCAGAGCAATGCTGGCACCTCCGGCGGCGTTGCCGCCGACGACGAGAAAGAGGAGCTTGTCGAAGTCGAGGACGACTGAGAGTTTCGTGACAGGGCTGGCACGGAAAAAAAGAGCATCGATATCGTTCTCCTCCTCCTTCCTCCTCGTCATCCTCCTTCCTCATTGTCTTCCTCCTTCCTCAGCGTCCTCCTCATTCACCCGTCCTGTCCAAGCCCTGCTGCTCATATGATGTGGTGGAGGTTGCTCCTCTTGGGCCTGTCTATATCTCTACGTATATACATGGGTCTATAATATTTCTACATATATCTCTACACATAGATATCTACACATATATACAAGTGTCTATATATACATATATCTCTGCGTATGAGGGGGATGTGTCTATATATCTCTACATATATATATAGATATACATGTGTGCAGGTACTATGTGGCAATGCTTACATGAGTGTTATATGTGTACGTATATAGGTGCACATGGTATGTGGTAATACTTGCCTCATCGCGATTGCACTTGATATTGCCTTGGATGTTGCATTGTGCCCTGGAGTTGGAGCCAGCTGCAATCGATGTCGAAGAGCACGGGTGTCTCAGAAGCGGTCTCGAGCTCCCCTTATTCATATTCTAAATCCAGGCTGGAGTCCTGGTTCATTCGTCGCCCTGATGGGTTTGTCCTCGCTGGGCCCTTGGGAGTGGTGAGCTTGCTCGCCCTTGGGTTCCTGTGTCTTGGGCAGCCCTGACGGGTTTTGCGGGGTGCGGAACTGGCCTTGGCGCCTTTAGGGGAGCTCAAAGTCGCTGTGCGAACTGCTGGGCTGCAGTTGGCTTATCTTCCAGATCGACAATCGACACTCGACAATCGAGGCTGGCCCATCGACCATCGCCTACTAGCCATTGCGGCTCTTTGAGTGCACGCGCGCGCCTTCGGCTGTGCTGCAGCGCACTCTTACAACCTTCTCTTCCTGTGCTCTTCCTGCGCCATGGAGGAGAGCCGCTCGATGCAGTTCGCGCAGGTCGTGGGTGTCATCACCTATGGCCAGATCCACAAGGACCTGGTGAACGATACCGCGCACGAGTGCGAGCGCATGGGGTCGAAAGTCATTCGCTTCGACGTCAGGCGCTTGTTGACGAACGACCCGAGCAAGACGATCGGACACAAGGAGAACGGTCTTCGCGCACAAACCCAGAAGACGGTGATGTCACAATCAGGGTTCGTCGACGCGTGCAAGGACATCGTCATCGAGGTGTCGAACTACAAGGTCAAGGAGTGGCCGTCGATCCTCGTCCTAGTGGAGTGCCAGCACGGCTTTCATCGCAGCGACACGGTGGGCCGCATGTGCAACGCGATGCTGAACTTCATACTGTCGAGGAACAAGGTCGAGGGTATGCACGTGCGCGTGTACAACTCGAAGATCTTCAACTCGGGCGAGCAGTACGGCAAGCGCGGGCACATCAGCATGCTGGAGAGCGTCAAGGCGTGGATGGCGCCTGGGAAGGCATGGGAGCTGGCGGAGGGCGGCGAGGCGCCTTTTTCTCAGCTCTACGCGAGCCAGGCGGCCAGGGACGACCACATGGCGTACCCAGCGTGGAAGAGCCTGTGGGACTGGGTCTACACCGAGTACCACATGGCGCGCAATGTCGGGCCTGTGCCGCCGCCAGGGTCGCCGCCGCGGGCCGAGAAGTCGCGCAGGATCGGCGAGGGCGGCAAGGGCGGCACCAAGGGCGGCAAGGAGGCTGGCCCCGTCTACGGCAAGCCGGGGACCAGCAGTGCTTGGCGCCCAGTACCAACGCGGGGGGTCTACGCCCGCGAGTCCGACGATGCGGAGGAAGAGGAGAGATACCAGGAGCAGGAGGAGGTGGCCGAGGAGGAGGAGGCGACGTTGATATCGAGAGGCACCGAAAGCGTCGACATCGAGTAACCACTACCACCCGCACTCTCGTTCTCTCCCTTATGTTCCTTCCTTCACCGTCCATATCGCCATCTCCAGTGCGGGGGGTATACGTTTAGTTTGTTTTGCTCGACCTTTCATTGTTTTTTTGTGGCGGTCCAGGAGTCTCAGCACATACGTCTGTCTCAGTTCGCTCACGCACCCAGCTATCTCGCCCACCGCCCATCTGCCCCTCATCTTGCTCCTCCTTCCCCCCCCCGCTTCCTCCCCATCGTCATCCTCTCCCTCATCCTCATTCGGGGTGCCAAGTCTATTTTGAGACCTCCTCCGCTTGGATGTCGAAACAACTGACCCCTCCCCTCCTACGAATGAAATGGCGGCGCCAAGGCCGAGAAGTTATCAGAAGTCGATCCTCGAGCAGCTGGCGAAGCCACCTCGACTGTCGACGCTAACTCACCATCTGCAACGCCAGTGAGCACGGAGGTGGAACAGAAGGCCGTTTCACGTGAACCACATTGTAGTCCAGCGTTGCCCCACCTGGTCCTGAGTGCCCCCGAGTGGTCATGACCCCGCCCCCTGCCCCGAGTCCCTGGCCGCACATATGGCCCCCGACTATCGAAATACAGGCTTGCTAAATACATCGAAGTCGATGGAAGGCGGCCGCGGAGGAGGCGCCTGCGGTCGCTGAGGAGGTGCAGGAGCCCGTCTGGGCCACGTTCGAGCGGGACCCTCGCGCCTGGCTCGGCCTTCTTCGCCGATGCGAGATCGACGGGACGGCCCAGCAGAGCGTCTTCCTCCTGGCCCAGTTCAGCGATGAGGGTCATCGCGAGGCCAACAACGTGTTGTACAAACTGTTCAAGAAGATGGGCGAGGGGAGCCTCACGGACCCGTCGAAGTTCGTTCGCAAGTGCGTGACGAACGCGCGGCAGGCCCTGGAGCAGCAGTATCACACGGGCCAGTGGCGTCGGTAGGCTGACGACGACGACCTTAGACGCAACCTCCCGTGCTCACGGTGCGAGGCTGCGGTGTGTATTTAAGTGCGGCGCCACCTCTCTTCGGGGCCCCTTAGGGTACATGGGGCCTCTTTCGCGGCTTGCTGCTGAATCGATGTCGACTTGTGTTTTCGAGTTTGATGGTCGAGGACGCGGTGGAGC